ATGTCACATGTATAATTACCCTATAATGTATTCATTTTAGAAACACAGTATACGAAACCTTTTGAAAGCCTCCATGTCTTTTGTCAGTGCAACAATTCATGAACATATTCCATGTGCTGTATTTCTTGGTACATCTAAATAAATCACTTCCCATGTACCATTCCGGTAACAGGTTTTACGTTTTTGTTTTTGAAATAAAATAAAATAAATTAAATAAATCACTTTTATTTGTGTCTAGTCGTTCTAGTGCTTTCGCACTAATTGGAGACACTTTTCGCTCACACGTACTACCACTACATTTAACATTCTATGCACACAACGCTCAACTCACATGTTGATTTTTACCCGCGGCAACCGGCAATGATTTTTTAATTGATTGCATACAAAACGTAAGAGCATTCATTTATTACATAGTAAACATAGTGGGATATTGTATATTTATCGAGTATTACAAACAAGTTACAAAAGCTAGGCGGGAACGGATTTACGGTTCCTAATTATTTAACGAACGTCTTCWCGCGATTTCCATTTTATTATTGTTCTTATTTTTGTTTTCTAGGTTTTGAGATTTTATATGTATTCACAGGCATTCTAGGTTTTTCTTTTGGCTTGATAATGACCTACTCTTTGAATTTATCACAGCTTTTCTTGTAAAAAATCTTTAATTTAAAGTGCTTATAAGCCTTCCAGGATTGCTTCTTAATTTGAAAGCCCTTCTAAAATAAATAAGAAATAGGCCCTTTACTTTCTTTTTGCTCTCTCTTTTCGTAGCTGAGATATTTAATATAGAAATTGCAAAATGATGACGTCACACAAGYGACCTAGTGAAAAGTCAAATCACCGTATTGAAAATATCTCCGCGAGAATTAGCCCAAAATGGCTGAAACTTATGTTGGTTATAGTATAGAGTAAGGCCCCKTCCACACGTATCCGCAAATTTTTGTATCCGCATTTTTTTTTACGTATGCGGGTTGCGTCTACACGTGTYCGCAAATTTTTGTGTCCGTATTCGCAAATTTTACGAAAACGGATACGTGTGGACGGCGAAAACGATTCGAATACGCTGCGTGTGGACGCAAACATTTTCGTATCCGCAAAAAATAATTTGCGGATACAAAAATTTCCGGATACGTGTGRACGGGGTGCTTGATAGTGTTGCCATGGAAACAACCTATAGGAGTAGGCGTAGCTCAGTTAGTTAGTGCGCGGCCTTGAGAGCTTGAGGTCCATAGTTAAATCCTCAGGAACTCCACGTCTGTTTCGTTCGGTTCTCTCTGTTCTGTGTAGCTTTAATTAGCTTTAAATACCCGTTAAAAGGAGCACTGATAGAGTACAAACACTATGAGTGTGTAACATAAATACCGCTAAATACTGCTAAATTATGCAAATCCTGTTGTTTTCTATTGTTTAATTAGCACTGTTTAGTACTAAATAGTGCAAAGTGTTGCACACTTTTAGTGTTTGTACTCTA